AGCTCCGTCTCTGGTGGTTGCGGGGTGGGGATGGAGAGTTTGCTGATTCCGCGATAGCTCTGCACGGGTCCGTATGATTATGGTGCCCACCATTAGTAGCAGATTGTGAGATCTGAGACTGAGATGTGATGTTGTAGTACGGGACTGTGTGGTGCTATCAATATGTTTATTTACAATAAAATTAAATTAACATTTTTAATATAATACCAATATGTTATGAATATACTCTTTTGTCTTTAAATAATAGTTTTTTATTTAAAATTTATTTTAAAATAATAGTTATTTTTTATATTTTAAAATAATAAAAAATTTATTATAATTATTTTTTAATTTTAATTTCTTTGTTTTTTAAAAAAAGATAAAAAAAAAGAGAGTAAATTTTTAATTTTTTTAATTTTTAATTCAAGATAAAAGTAAAATATACCTATTATTTTAGACGAAGATAAATAATGAAAGGTAAACCCAAAGGCAAGGAGAGAAATAAATAGGAATGCGTTAAAATTTATTTGTAATTTTTGTAATAAAGAAATAACAATAACCTAAGGATTAAACTTTATCCCAAAAATTAATCTCAGTTATTAAATTTATTAGTAAGTAAGTTTTTTTTTTTTTGTTAATCTCTTGATATTTAGAAGTTATATTGAATTTTAATTAACTCGAAATCGAATTGGATCATACCTTATAAAGGGATAAACTCTATTAGTATTTATTTTTTAATTCATAAGATTTGAATTCGATATTTTACTTTAAAAAAATTAAATTATTTCTTCTCGAATTAACAAATCATTAGTTATTAATAAATAAATAGTTATCATTTTTTATTATCTAAAAAAAGTATTATTTATTTATTATTCAGATTTTTTTAAAATTTTAGATAATACATTGTGAAAAAGTGTTACATGCAACACTCTCAAGTAAAGCCTAAACTTGCGGTTTAATAAGGCTCAAATCTAAAACCTGCACCAGAGGTCAAGGCTGGGAAAGGATTTTACTTTCAAACAGTTGAATTACAAGTACTAAGAAAAACTAATCCTCTTCTTTATTACAAAGAATTATAGGCTTCATTTCTACTACCAATTCTTAATTACAAATAATTGCTACAAATAATTAAACACCATATTTGTCTACAAATTCATAATTTATACAAAAAAGTCAAAAATAACAATGAGTATTTTAAAACAGATGGAGCGAAAAGTAAAAAACTTTATAGCAACAATTAAGGATAATTAATTGCTTTGGTTTTATTTGGTATGGCTAATCCTAATAGTTGACAATTGTAATTGATAAAATAATTGATATTATGTTTTGTTTGTGAACACTTTTTAGTGTTTTAACTTTTTAATTTTTATATCTTTTTATTATTTTAAAAACATATACAATATTAATTAAAATAATTATTAAATATATTAAATATCTATTTGACATGTAAAAAATTTTCTCAATTCATTATTTCAGTTCATTTGCATGCTATGCGACTTAAACTTATAATCTCTTATTTTTAATAAAAAAATAATCACTAAATTATTTTAATCGTTTGCAATAAGGTAAAATATTAAAATACCTACAACTGTAGTTACAGGCCACGTTATCAAAATAAATCTATTTAAAATCAACATATAAGTTGCTATTTTCAAATACTCCACTTACCTATTTAAGAAAAAAATATATATACTAATAAAGTCAGTTAAACTAAACATATTATTTGTCAACAACAGACTAGTGGAGTACTAATTAAGGTCTTAGATTACCGCTAATTTCGGATACTAATTAATCCTGAAAAAGTCAGGGTTAAGTTTCTGCATGGGTCACGCTATGCTATTACCATCAAAACTTCCTTTGTGCCGTAATAACGACTATCTCACTAATGTGTGAACTTGACCTATCATTCCTAAGGCCTCATCCCACATGCCCAATCAATTCTCTTTTTAGATTCTAATAAGATGGCTTAAAAGTTAAGAGTTTGATATTTTATATTAGAGATCTTAAATTCAAATATTAAATTTAATATAAAGAAAATTAAGAATAAAAGAAAGTTATTTTTTTTTATATAATCTATAATTATATGTATAAAAAAAATCTCCCTTTAGTAAACATTAAAAATTTTAAAAAAAATCTACTCAAATAAAACTTGGTTTTACAAAAAAAAAAAAAAAAATTCTTATGCTGATTCTCCCCTTTTTTTTAATCTATTTCCCCACACCATTTTATCACTTACTTTCATACGCACGCTCTTGTAGTTGGATAAAAAAATTATAATAGTAAATGGAAAAGTACTTGAACAAATAGAAAATACATTACATTCCAAATTTCCAATCCCTAATTTCTTTGTTGTTTTTTTTTTTTGTCTGACATGTCTATAATGGGTTATATCATATAAAATAACTACTTTTTTTTTTTTTCAAAATCTTTTCTCGATTCATTTAGTATTTGAATATAAAACCCTCAACTTGAAGATTTAATAAGTTTTTACCTTAGTTAATTAAACACTACGGTATGCAATAATCATCTATGAAAATAAATTAAGCACCAGGTCTTATTAGAAAAATTGAAAGGTTTATTTATGTTACTTAATTCCAACAATAATTATAAAACAAAAATACTATTGAGAGGTAAAATTTCACCATCAATATTTGACAAAAAAAATATAAGAATTTTATTTTATTGTTTGAACTGTACTAATTATAAAATAAGAATTATTAGATAAAAAAAAGACTTTTTCAAATTAAAAAACCTAATTCTATTTAATGATTAATATTATATAATTTGATACCGTCTAAACTTTACAAAACATTATTTTTATAAAATAATTAATCAGTAATCTTGTGTTATCTTATCTTCTGTTTTTTATGTATAAATTTTTTTGCCGACACATTCAAGGACTTCATGTCTTGGAGCTTTCCAAGAATTAGCTTCATTTTTGGAAGAAGCAATACAAAACGCTTAGAAACTGATTGAAGACCAAACACAAGAGGTCCATAGAAAACCATCGAAACAATGATTCCCTAATATTCTAAACCAAACACAAAAGGGTATCTATCTGACCATCTGTTTCTTTCCGCATTTCAGAAAATTATGTTTTTCAAATTTCGCTACTGAAAATTTTGGGGATTTGGTGTGGCCGTGTAGGTTTCTCTTCAACCCTAGTTACATATGCCATGAAATTGTGGTGGAAGAACACACGAAACTGTCCCCTTCTAAATCAAATGTGTTTGGAGAGCAAGCTTTTTTAATAAAGCAGAGAAAAAAAAAATAAAAATCAGGGGGACATGGTTGATGAACTGTTACATCCATCAACCCAAGAGAGGAGGAGTCTTTTGATTTGTAACTATCTCCAACGACTAAAGTGTTCCAAAGACAATAACCGAGAGATGATGTGTATCACTTGAACAACATTGATCTAATTGGGCATTAAATCATTTAGGGGAATAAGATAAAGAATGGAAAGGCCATAATCGTATGGCCTAGGAACTGATTTTTTTAATTGTTTTCCATTACATCATCAATTTTTTTTTACAAAAAATATAATTGATACATT